AACTTCAGTTAAACATAATTTCATGTTACTTCCTAAATTAAACTAAAGCTCTGCTGAACTCTGTTGATGTGACCACTAGCTATCACTCACAGTATGGAAGAACTGACTACACTATGTCCAGACAAATAGCAGTGCCTGTAAATGCTCACAACACATACCGGACCCCACAAATATTATAGTTCTCTAAGTTAAGTTTCCCCTAAAAAGAATACTAAAAACAGTTTATAATTATATATATACTTTTCCAGAAGAATGCCCACATTTTGTACTTGAAAACCAAAACAACCAAGCCTGCTCATTAACAGCTGACAGAACTTGTCCACGCATTTCAAAAATTAAAAATGTCATTTTAGTAAAATACACGAGAGACAATGTTAAAATAAATTATGTGGAATAAAACACACTTGAATGATTATTTTTGAGATGGTATGACTATAAACTTCTCGAGGAAGAAAACTCAGTTTTGTTGATCGTTTATAGTACTTTAGCCTTAATTTTATCTACTACAAGGCTTTACATACATTTGATCCCGTGAATATTGAATGAAAGAATGAATGAACACTAGTCCAGCAATATGAAGACCACGTTTTCATAAGGCTCTGCCAGACCATAATTTTCTTTATAAAATAATGGTATTATGTGAGATGATCTTAAAGATTCCATCTATTCTAAGATATATAAATCTAGTAATATAGGGAACTCACAATTTTTAAATTATAATATTACATAGACCTGCTATTTTAAGACAACTTTGAGTTGAAATATCTAAGGGTTATAATATTGAGCTATTGGATTTAGGAATTATGGGGAAAAATTTTATGTAAATATTAATAAGTAATTCCAAAATAGATCTTAGTTAAGGCATCAAACTATTCTGATAAAATTTTAAATATCACTAGGTATCTAATTTTAGGTTATGTTATCTAATATGTTATGTTATCTAATTTTAAACATCTAGGTTATGTTATCTAATTTTAAACATCTGAATAGTTCGTAAACTAAAAACATAATTTTTGACCTGCTGCTGTGGCTCAGTGGTTGAGTATCAACCCATGTACCAAGAGGTCACTGATTTGATTCCCGGTCAAGGCACATGCCTAGGTTGTGGGCCCGATCCCCAGTGGGGGCATGCAGGAGGCGGCCAATCAATGTTTCTACCTCTCTCTCCCTTCCTCTCCCTCTAAAATCAATTTAAAAAAAAGTTATTTAAAAAAATTTTAATTTATTTATATGAATATAAATCTTCCTTTATGCATAATTAAAATTATTTATTTTAATGTGTACTCACCCTATTTCTATGAATCACTAGTATCTACTCCAAGCGCTTTTTATGCATCTAGTGATATAAATACAACTTACTATTCTGACACTTTTATTCACCTTTCAAGAATCAGTTTAAATATCCTCTGCACGGCCATCCTTCACTTTTACATTTAAAGGTCGTCAGTCCTTCTACTTGACTTCAGAAATATTTCAAAAATACTGCTATGACAGTTTCTCATAATCAATTTGTAATTACTCTTTGTATAAAGAGGTACAGACTACTTGATGGAAAAGCCTGCCTTGTTCATTGTTGTACCCCCACCCAACACAATCCCATGGCCACAATACGAGTTAAATGCATTTGGTAAATAATAATAAAACATAATAACAACTAATATGTGTGGAACACAAGTCAGCATCCATGCTAGTTTCTCACACAACTCCCCATGAGGCAGGTGTTCTGCTAGAACTCGCAGCTTTGAGCATGAAAGCCAGGTCTCTGCCCGCAAAACTTACCAGCGATGGTGGGTATTTTGGTTTTATCTCAATTAGGAGACACTTCCACCCATTTACAGATTTGATCCTCACAATAACCATAATGTAATATGTACTCTGATACTATTTTACAGAACTGGATATTGAATTCCAGTAGTTCATGTGACCTGAACAGGGTCTCACTTGTAGCAGGTGGCACAGTGAACTGCACTCCAGTCAATAAAAACGTTAGTCTCCTTCCAAGGACTATCGGGCACGAATGCAGGAATCAGGTGTGGTGTTAATGCGCAGTTTAAAGAAGGTCTAAACCAATACTATTTATTAGTATTTTTATTCCTCTTTTACTTCTTTTTATTTCAATGTCAGAAGACTCTAAATGGTAAAAATTGGAAATGGTGTTCTTTTACTGAGAACAAGCAGTAAGCAGAAAAAAATATATTTTAAGAAGATAATTTAAATTGAAACAGTGCTGTTTTAACCCTAGTACTATAAGAAATTAAGTTGGAGTAAGTACCATAGAGAAAATTAAAAATACCTTTGATAAATATTCAAAGTTTTTTTCAGATTATTAATTGTGCAGCTGTTATTTATAATAAAGCAACTACTTATAGTGATCTAAATTTAATATAGCATAAATTAATGCATACATTTTGAGTCTATACTCACTCACAAGTACCAAATCCTATATTTGGTTTCAATGTTCAGGTTTTCTTTGCATTCACAGTAATATTGATGGAACCTATAAGTACTATATTTGTCTCAGGTTATTAATAATAAATTAGAAATTATTAATGATAAAAGCATCATAAAATAAAAGTTTAACTGCAGTGTGAACAGAGAAAAGTGATAAAAATACTAAATTATCACACAAGGGGAAAAAGTATAGGCTGGTAGTCATCAAAGGAACTTATGCTATTGTATTCTCTTATCACAGGTAGTAATTAATTTCAGTAAAATGACATCCACTGTATTACACTAATATTTATTCATATGGAATTCATTAACGATAGCTTTCCTGTGTTTAATTATATATTTCCTTTGACTTTATAACTGTATAAGGGCTATAGGCAAGGCATTTATATCTAGCTTGAAGTGCTAATATAATAAAGGCAATATATGATTGTGGGTTAGCAGGAATGTTATTGCCTTTAACAGGGTTAAAAAATACTGTTGTTGTTTTTTTATGAATGTGAAAAAATAGTTATCTTTAGTTCCGAAATATGTAGATATTTGATTATACTGAAGTATAATTTTGTCTTTAAGTAATTGAGGTGAATGCTCTGGTTAATAAAATTGTAAATGTTTATTCATTAGTTTAGCAAATGTTATCTAAATATGTCTATGGGCCAGAAGCTGTGCTAGGCACGGGTAATGCACATAAACAAGACCCATTCATTCCTGACCTCCTAGAACTTAATATTTACAAGACAAGTGGAGGGCTGCTGATTGCAAAAGCAAAGGAAAGTTCAGGAAACAACAATGACTTGTAACAGGAAAACCTAAACTTTGTGGAGGGGACACTTTAAGTAAAACTTGGAAAATAAATTAGAATGTTCTGGTTGCAGGAAAAAAAGTGCTAGCTTAGGAGAGTAGCTTAAGGTAGAAAAGGACATAGTGCATCTGACAAACTGAAAAAATCTTTATTTCTAAAAAAAAAAAAAAAAGAGAGAGTGAGTGACTGTGACAGTCACATGAGCTAAATCTGGAGACAGGACAAAAGCCCGACCAAGAGGTTACTGTGGATTATCACCAAGTGTTGATTTCATGCCTGAGGTTGCTGGGAAACCACCGGAAGGTGTTAAAGCAGCAGAGGGATGTGATCCAACTTTCATTGTCAAAAGATCATTTTGACCACATTGTGGAGAATATAACAGAAGAACAAGAATTATTTTTTTCTCTAAAATATCTAGAATGCTTAGGCAGTTAATTTTGTATTATATTTACTGATGATTTAAAATGTCAAATAAATGACTCACTGCCTGCAAACTTCTCAGTACTCCGATCAGCATGAGCTTCCGAGAGCCTTCCTTTATATCACCAAGATGGGTTTCTCTCTGTTGCCCACTTTACCTCAGTCTCTTAAAGGAATGGGTCATGTATTATTTAACTTTATTTCCCATAGATCAGAGCATGGTACTCAGCAGGAATTTCAGGCATGCTGGTTATTTTTAAAAAGACTACTGCTTTGATGTCTGCCAATTCCAATTCCGAATTTTGGCTCTCATGTGTTGTAGGCGTTGACTATTTTTTATTATTGATAGCATGGTCTATATAAGCCATGCCTAATCACATAACCATAACCATTTTAGAGAATATGTGAGAATGGATTGGAAACGGAGTTGGAGTAGATATTTTATATTTGAAATATGTTCAATTAATGTTTTCACTGATGCATATATTGATATAAATGAAATCCATTTATTTTTTGACACTTCATTGATTTTTTTGTAAACTGCTAAATTAAACGTGCTACCAAGAAATAGAAAAATATGCTTGCTATACTCCCTAATTTTGTGAAAGGTAGACTGGCTAATATTAATTGACTGGAAAATTGCCAATATATGACTTGGCTTTGTGATCTTTTTTCTCTAAAAATTAAATTAGGAAGTAAAGGAATATTCAAATTTGGAGCCATTATCTCAGTGAATACCTGTTAACTTTACAGAATACCTGTTCTCAGTTACCATATGGGTCAGGCAATAGGTAATTTACAAAGAGTACACGATGCAAAACAATAGTCAGACATAATGTATCCATTTTTCCCAATCGAATTATCTATTATCTCAATCATTAATTAGCATTCATTTGTATAACATAAAAATCTCATGCAAATACTGAAAACTACTATGTAGGATAAATCATCACTGTGTAAATATGTGCACTTATTAATAGAAACTGGCTATTTAATTTTCATGTTATCTCAACATCATAATTGATATGTAATATGCAGTAGGTATTTAGTACTTATTTTTACTACTCTTTTTATGCATTCTCTTTCTCTCTGCTTTTACCCCCACCCCCTTTCATATTTCCATTGCACTTTGATTTTATTTATTTTGACCTCTGTGCCTTCAAATTACTCAGGCTTTGGCAGTACTATCTATAATTTGCAGCTCCGACTTTAACTCTTTCTTTAGCTTCCTATGTCTTGGCTGTCTTTCAGTTCATTTTCTAATTAGAATCATTATAAAATAAAGTTTTGGCTGTAACTAAATGGGCACAAGTAAAATAACATCCAATACCTCTATGAGTAACAACTGCAAGCTCTTTAGTTCTTTCTATCTGTTCAGCATTTCTTGGTCTTCTCCTTGTACTTTGTGTATCTGCTTGATGAGGAGAGAGCCCGTCCTTGGACGTGTTGGGGTCCAGACCTGCATTTCTGAGATTCGTAACTTGCACTCGCTGTTCCTCGGAAAGTCTATGGATGGTGACAGCTGTAACACTGGATACAGTAACATCTGCAGATGTGCTAGCAACAGCAATTGCACCAGTGGTAGTCCTGTTATGCTCCTCTAACTCACCAGTGGAGGTAGTGTGGGTCAATGTAGAAGAACCTGTGGGACACAGTAGCACTAGATGCTAACTTTTTCTTTTAAATGTTGTTTATTTTTTTCTGATAAGTTTAATAAATTATATTCCTTTCTATTACCTTAAGGATAATCAACATTCATTGGCACAACACATACACACCACTAAAATGTGAAGCAACCAGATCTGATGGTCGGTTTGTATCAATCAACCTATGAATATAGATATTACACACAAATATGCTACATTTTAACTACAACACATTAGAGGGGGAAAGGCGAAATAGAAAACCCTTTATGTGGCCCTGAATCAATTTTCTTCATTATTTATCTACAGATGAATTTTGACAACAAATGCCAGGCAAGTGACAAGTTTTGATAGACTGGGTAACTATGTAACCACACTTTTCTCAAACGGATGCTTTGAATAGGCTGTGCCATCTCTCTTCATAATTTCTGGGAAACATATCAAAAGAATCTATTTAAAGACAAGCAAACGAAAAAAAGGAGGATTTAAAAGCAAAGCCAAAATAAAAACGACACAATTTTAAAAAATGAAACTCTGAAATTACTGCTCTATGTAAATGTCTAGCTTAATCTCATTTGCCAGAAAACAGCCACCATGATAAAATATTTAATGTCATGACCTATCTATAGTTTAGAATTTAGTGAGTTACTTTTGGAATTTGGGTAATAGTTCTCTGTATTTTAAAGTAAAATTTGAGATTAACCAATTTTCAACTAATTAATATTAAATAAATTATTTTATTTAGAATGATTAAAATTAACTATATCACCTTGGAATATTTATTATTACAAAACTTGTTTGAAAAATAGATGATATTTTCCAAACATCTCATTAGCATTTAACAATATATATCTCTCCTCATTTGTAACTTATTATTAAAATTTCACTATAATTTAAAAATATGTTTTAAAGATGCCAAATTAGGTTTTTTTGTTGTTGTTTTTTTTCTGTTCACTTAAACTTTTTAAAAGATTGTCTTTGGTAGCAATGAATTCTTCCATAATGAAAAATAATAACCTCATAAGAGAAGCATGAAACTGAAAAGATATATTTAAAGAATCTTGACAGCTAAAATACTTTACAAGAAAAAAAATTAGTAAATTTTGGATGTATCGGTACTAATTAAAAATAATAGTCAGGCCTTAGAAATCTTCTGAATATTTTTTTAAGACCAACGAGTGGCATATACTTTATATACAGGACTTCTCAATAAATTGACTTAAAACCACTATCCACATTAGGATTTTAGACATAAATACATAGAAATATTTAACCACTCTGCAAGAAGAAAATAGCTACATCGCTTAATGTATTTGTTTTCTTCTTGTAGGCAGGTGTTTAGTAGAACAAATAAACCTGGTTTGTTTTAAACTCAAAAAGAAAGTCAAACATGGGGCTCATTCATAAGCAAATAGAGGGGTACATGTCTGCTAATAACTCCTCCAGCCTGAGGTGACTTATCTCATTTTAATTTGATTTAGAATTCAAAAACAGTCAAATGATGATTGTACTTCAACAGGGGTAGGGGTAAATGAAATATGACAATTTTTATATATTTTAAAGCATAAATTTTTAAAAAGTTGCTATTGAACATTTATCCAAGGTATTTTGTGAAGAATAGAATCTACTCCATTCATGTGGGCTATGCAAATTGGCCAGTAATATTTACTAAAGTAATTTTTGGGAAAGGATTTCTTTAATCACATGATTAAGCTATAGCAACACTTACATTAGTAATAGTCCGTAACTGACCCCCTGGTAGGTCAGACTTTTGGGATGCCCATGTACTCATTACTATACAAATGATGACCTCATCCATATTATTCTCCTGGGGAAGTTAATTATGCCTTCTATTTTTTTTAAAGGAAATATGAAATTAGAATGAAAAATTAATACTTTAAAACATTTTATCACTTTATCATAATTTCCAGGCTTTTAGGTTTAGTTTAAAGAAGGAAACCATTTAACTATAAAACATGTTGCCATATATAATCTAGAAGTTTGAGAAGTAATGAGATTTGTACCCTGTCTCAAATCTTAGTGTTCCTACCTTTAACAAAGAAGTAAACTGACTAAGTATTATATTTCATCACCAAGGTCATTACAACTAAGCCCAAATGATCTCTTGTATTTAGGGCAATCAATCTGTGGTAATTCTTGAATATAACTAATATTCAAGATCTACTGACCAATTCCAAACTCATTTTCTTGAAGAACCAAGAGAATAAACACAGCTCCTGACCAAATATGAGAGTTAGAATTGATCGTTAGTAGTAGGATTCGCTGGCAGTTCCAAACTTAAACTCTTTAGACAGAGGTCTACTCCTGACTAATGGTGGTGGTGACTCTACTAGTTTCCTAACCTGAGTGTGAAACAGGGTATAATGTTGGAATAAAGCATAGAAAACCCCATTTCTTTAATAACCACAGTCTAACCAGACATATAATTCAGCCATATATTTTGCTAACTAGTTTTTATGCTTTACTTATATTCCCCATATAATGAATCAAGGATAATTCCAAAAAAAGAGAGAATAATTTTGTTTTTAACTTTCAAAAACATCACTTTGAAAAAGTGTGGAATTTGTAGATAAGTAATAAGAGTTACTTTAAGAGTTTTGTGATCATTCTCAAAAGATGAAAGCTTATAGTGTTAGTGCAAAATAGATTTACTTAGAATGTTCAAATTTCTATAGTAAAATGTAGTTATATTTCATAAGGTCAGGAGGTATAAGTGAATCTAATTTTAGTTACATATGTATGATATATATAATGGAACTATAAAGGAATATCACTGATTTTCTTTATAAGACAATAAAATAATCCTGTATCATACAGTTGTATCATATATGATATAACCATTTAAATTAAATTGTAGACCGTTTTAGAATACTGATTTTGGTACCACTTTAAATTGAAAGTGTGTGAAACAAAGACTTTTAAATTATAAAAATGTATCATTTAACAAGTTAGAAACACTGAACATTTTTGCATACAAAATTGTTCTATGAGGTAATTATCAATGTTGTAAAAAGACTTAGAAATAAGTATAACAACAATCCAATGTTAAATATGTAATATAGCTAATCCAAAATTTAAAAATATAATTTACTTTCCTATAAACACTTTTAAGTATGCTACATAATTATATAAACATTATCTTTAATAGCACAGTATTAAATGCATATGTTAGAAGACATACAACAAAAATTAAAATAAAGTACATTCAGAAAATTTATTCTTCCTTTGAAATCAAATCATGAATATAAGATGTAGTCTATCTCAATTAGTTTATCCTATTATTAAATTGCTTGAGAGATATATATTTAGATGTTTACAATATAAACACATATCTAAAATAATTTTATTAATATCCTTTAACAAAACATTTATAAATAAAATAAAAATAAATAAAATGGTTTACATATATAAGCATGCTTTTAGAAATCTTAACTACATGTTATCTTTGGAATTATGATAATGAAAAATGACATACATTGCACATGTAAACTAGGAAATTTCTTTAATAGTAATATTTACAATATTAAATTTAGATTTTGTAATTAATAAAATTATGTTTTTGAAGGCTTTTTTATTTCAGCACTATATCTGTAAGAGACCAAGGATAATTCATTAAAAGCTATTTATAAATGTGTCATTTAGAAAGCGTACCAAATACTCATATAATAATTGATTTTAATTTTTTTTTTTTAATTTTTAGTATTAAATATATTTTTTAAATATGTTACTTTGCTTTGTAATTATTGTCTAACTCATCACAGAAGCAAAGAAAAGAGTATGTTGCTAGAGACATAGTGGATGGCCACACACACACACACACACACACACACACACACATATTACTATATAAGTACAGTTTAAGATAATTGCATATTCAAAGAAGTAGATTTTAGATATTTAGATATTTATGTGTTTGGCATGTTCTTTTATATAAAAACATATATTCTGCTCCATCTGTTCCATCAATTTTAGTATTTCAAATAAAATATTTGAATGAAAGCTTAATTAACAAAATAATTTTAAGTGTATAATTTTCTGGCACTATGATATTTTATGAAGAGAAATGCAAAACATGAAACATGCAAAAGAAAACATGCAAAATAATATCAAAACAAAATTAAATAAAACTAATGCAGCAATTCTATTTGAGCCATAATCTAAATATTCTATAAAGTTTAGCATATGTAATTTAATTTGTATTTTGTATGTATTATTTTATTAAATGTTACTTACATGAAATGTATGAGCATATGTCAATAAGTGAGGTCTCTTGAAAATTAATTGATATATGAAGTGTAAAAAAAGCTACTGCTTTGTTACATGTTACAATTTTCAGGAAGCTTATTACAGTTGGGAAAATAAGTATTTTGCATTTTAAACATTATTAATTTCAGTATCCCAAAATCTGTATAGCTTAGTACTTAATAGTATAAGTTGGTGAAAAGGTACGTATGTAGGAAGAGATGGGTAAACTGAAATGAAAAGTAGCCCTTAAAGTGTAAAATATAAATGATCTGCTTTTGATTGTTAGCTAATAGAATATTCTCTAACTAGGAGAACTTTAAGTGAACAAATCCTAAAATCAAAAATAAGTATTTGCAATTTAGTGTTAAAGAGTAGGTCTAGATTGATCTTATAAAGTTTTAATTTTAAACTAAAATGCTGAATTGATGTTGAAACTATCTATGATTATAATCTTAAAGTATCTAATTAAATGAGTGTAAGATACTCTTGATTATAAGATAGATGCACCTCTAAGAAAGAAAACATTGGCCCATTAAACTATTGCCACAAATAAAAAAATGTCCTCAGGTGAGGATAAAAAAAAAAAAAATAAAAAAAAATAAAAAAAAAAAAAAAAAAAAAAAAATAAACTATGCCACAGCAATGCAAAAATGCTAGCACCTGCATCCAGCTTTCTGAGATGTTAAAATGTGGGGAAAAAAGTTGATCTTCACAGAGTAACAACAAAATCAGT